AAATGTTTGTCTGGGTTCATCTGCAAGCACATTGCTTTTCTCATCATCATCATCCTCTCTATTAGCACAGGACTGAGAATGAACTAGCCCCTGAACTTTCCAAGACAGCATTAAGTCTAGCCATAAATCTGCCATTGTGAACTACAGAAGTATACAGCAAATGAACTGTTGAATGAAAAATCAAATCTGAACCCAATGAGTAGCTTCAGCTCTTTTCATAATAAAAGGCTTATATATTTATCTTGCCTGATTCCCAACAAATGAATATTTGGTTTTAGGTATGAGTGTGTTTTTCTCAGCTACAAATTAATTTTTCCGTCTTTGAAATGTTTGCCTTCCCCAGGCCATTTTTAATTAAAAATCATATTGGCAAATTCATCTGCAGATGAAAATGATAAAAAGTCATCATCTATTAGATTCTAGCTGGTTGGTTAGGTTTTGTGATTGTCAGCTGTACGTTCTGTCAGCCCCAAGTTTGCATCTTGAAAATTGGGATTGTAGCTTACTGATTGTTCTGAGGCTCAAACAAAATAATAATTATGAAACCATTTCCATATTCTCTGCATGATTTATCACTAACACAAGAACAACCTGGGTTAAAGACTGAAATTCTTCTCTTTTACCTTCTATTTTCCTATTCATTTATTTTGCCTAGTGGGATCTTTTTAGATGGATTGTTATGCATCACTGCTTTGACTATGTTTTTAGTTTTGTTTGTGTTCCCCATTTCTAAGAGGGGTATTTTGTTGTTTCTTTTTTATATTTCTATACTTAATGTTTTCAGCTTTGAATGTTGCCTTTTAATGATATATGTCACCTTCGCATACTCATTGTTTTGTTCTCAAATATAGTCTTTAAATACTGTAAGCTGCCTTGGGTCCTTTTTCTAAGGAGAAAGGCCAGGTAAAAATATTTTAAATAAATGAATAAACAAACTGAAGGGGTGCACATATTGCTTTTATAACAGCTTTGCTGCATGATCAGGTTTTTGCTTACTAGATAAGAATAGATAAAGAAGGGAGGCCACCTGCATTCCGTTACTTGTAAGTAACTGGTCTAATTAAAAGTCTGTCCTTGGGAAACAGGCCGATAGATAGAGGAATGATTTACTGCTCAGAGATGCGTTCATGCAGGAATGTGTACCAATTATAGAAACCCCTCCCATTTCACCACCCCCTCCCAACCCCTTTGGTGCCTCTTTCATGTTATGCCTTATAAAATGTATCTTCTTTTGTATCGGGGGTGCTCTTCTTCTCTGCATGTTTTCTGCATGTGAAGTTTGCACCTATTTTCAGTTGAAAATAAACAAATATCTATAGGATCTCTCTGTCTCTGGCTGATTGATTAATGTGTTAGAGATAGGCAAAAACCCAGGAATTAGTCCTGGACCTTTCAAAATAAATAATTGTTGCAACACTTCCAGGCAACATCAGCTTGTATAATTCTACAAGGTTTGTTTCTATAGTGCTTCTATGTTCCATATGCACAAAAATGCTTTAAAGTAACAAATTAAAATGTATTGAAAATTTTGTTACAGTTATGATAAAAACTGTAGGCACAAATACTTAAAAATACTTTAAAATACTTTTATAAAATTCTTGCAACTTATGAAAAGCTACAAATGTGATTGCCATCCAAAATTCTTAAAACTATGAGACGTCGCGAACAAAAATACATTTAAAAGCAATTTGTAGGTGGAAATTAAATACAGTCGTGCCCCGCTTTACGATTGCCCCACATTACGACGAAACCTCATTACGACGACGTTTTTGCGATTGCAAAATGATGGTCTGAATAGGCTTTTTTCGCTCTGCGATGATCGGTTCCCTGCTTCGAGAACCGATTCTTCGCAAAATGTCGATTTTCCTACAGCTGATCAGCTGTTTCAAAATGGCCACGAGGTAAATAAAATGGTTCCCCGCTGTTTTCTGGGACAGATTCCTTGCAAGACAGCCACTGAAAATGGCTGCCCTATGGAGGATCTTCGCTGGACAGTGAGTTTTTAGCCCATTGGAATGCATTAAACAGGTTTTAATGCGTTTCAATGGTTTTTTTATTTTCACATTATGACGTTTTCATTCTATAGTGATTTCGCTGGAACGAATTAACGTCGTAATGCAAGGCACCACTGTAATGTTATAATTATGTTCCAAAATTGCATAGCCATGTATTCTAAAAATATCAAAGTTGTTAAAAGTAAAAAAATATAAAGTAAAAGGCAGTTCTTAGCCTCTGAGCATGTTTGTTTGTTTGTTTGTTTGTTTGTTTGTTTATTTGTTTATCTGGTCATTACGACCACTCTAGGTGGCTTCCAAACAAATAAAAATATAACATATAAACATATAAATATGCCAAGATAAAAAAGAAATTATATATCATAATATAATATTAACAGCACACAACATAATTTAAATGCTCATCCAACCAAACCAATTTGAGTTTATGGAGGAAAATCCATGTTGATTGTATTGCTGGCTTTTGGAAATGAAGCTACTGTACTATTACATGATCATTACTCTTTGATGTCTGGTGCCCAAAGTGGTGTAGAGTTCTGGTGCTGTGATAAATTCCTGTTTGTGTGTCTTATCTCTATATATTTATAATTCTTTTAGATGTTCACACCTCCTCCCAACCTGTGAACTATTTATTTTCCAGGGGCCTGAAGATCCAAGTATCTGGATGTTCAAGAAAAAGTTTTCAATGGGAATCACTATTTGTTCCTGAAGAGTTTATTATTCCAGGCCTCGAATATGGCAAGCTGCCACTATGGTGATAATGTCATTATTTTTACTAAAATTCTGCAAAGCTTAGAGGAATAAAAGCTTGCAGCATAAAGCATTTGATCCACCAGAGGCCTGGAACATCAGACTCCTGGAAAGCCAGAATATTGGAACAGAATATTGTAGCTATAGGACCTATAAACTTTACCTCCATGTTTACAAATTGCGACATAAACATGTTCAGCTATCAGGATGTTACAGTACAGTGACCTTTTTTAGCTGGAGAACTGGCTTTGAAATTACTATAGTAAATTTGTTCAAGCCCCAATTTTAAAAGCACTTTCATTTCCAGGGCTGTTTTTCTATATCCTTCTAAATTATTTTAACACTCTACACACATAAAATTTCAAACCTTGACACCAGGAATTTTGGTCTGTTTGATTTAAGCAGCCATACTTAAATCAAACTGTCTGCAGTTCTGCACCCAGCCCTGTAGGTGGCCCTGTTCAAAGAACAGCATTAATAGGCTATGAGATAGACTTTTTTCTGTTTCAGTTGTCAGCTTCTAACACAGAGCCTTGCTTTATTAAGCTGTTAAAAAATAAAATAATAAAACTACAGAAGTGTTGCTGAAGAGGAGAATCTGAAAAAAATTTTAAAAGAGTCTTAGGACTCTTAATGAGCTAAGAGGCAAGAAGTGAAGGGAAGGTAGGAAGGTGCTTTGAGTGTGTATGCACACGAACCTTATTCTCTGTTTCTGCATCAATTCAAGTGATTGTGTGCTTGAATTGATTCAAAGGAATTAGAATTTTTTAAAAGGAGGTTTCCTGGTGAACAGGAAAAGCCATGGATTGGGGAGGGAGGATTCTGGGTTGGTTTGCATTTCCTATTGCATTGCCTGATCAATGGGGAAAAAAAATGCAAATTGGCCACCCCAAACCCATAGTATTTTCCACAGTTTGGGATAATGTGGTTTCCCCCTAATATGGCTTCTCTTTAAAAAACTAGCAATGACTCATTCAGTGTGAAATTTCCATTTAGGGAGTAAATATAACCTCATTGCCACAGGGACATCTGGCCAAATTTTTAATTTTTCTGTTTCCTCTCTTTTTTATACCATCCAGCTTGCTAAAGTGTCCTGGAGAGCTTGAAGGCTAGCATATTTGTGTGAAATTCTATTTGAACCTAAAAGGTGTTCCCCGCCTGTAGAATTTGTGTTTGTTTGGATTTTCATTTTTATCTGGCATAGTAAAGGATAAATGTGAGAGGGGACGTGGTGGCGCTGTGGGCTAAACCGCAGAAGCCTGTGCTGCAGGGTCAGAAGACCAAGCAGTCGTAAAATCAAATCCACGCAACGGAGTGAGCGCCCGTCGCTTGTCCCAGCTCCCGCCAACCTAGCGGTTCGAAAGCATGCAAATACGAGTAGATAAATAGGTACCATCTCGGTGGGAAGGTAAACAGCGTTCCGTGTCTAAATCACACTGGCCATGTGACCACGGACAGATTGTCTTCGGACAAAACGCTGGCTCTATGGCTTGAAGAGCGGGATGAGCGCCGCCCCCTAGAGTCGGACTCGACTGGACAAAAATTGTCAAGGGGAACCTTTACCTTAAAGGATAAATGTAAATGTTATTATATTATATTATCTATCTACCAAGTGAAAACAAAAGGCCAGAATGAGATCACCTATCTGAAAAAGAAGACCAAATAAGATTGAGATATGATTCATTGTAAGGCAAATTGCAAAATTGGTTTCACAGGGGTGGGTGGATGTGTTTTATCTGTCTCTTATCTTTTGCAGCAAGCTAACAGAAGTGTTCTTAGGTTTACGGATGGAAGAGGGGGCAACAGTTCTGACAGATGTTAAGTTTAGAAACTTTTAAGGAGAATACATATAAAAAGCCATGACATGCTGACATCATCCAAGTTTAGAAAGTTACTTTTAAAGAGAACAGCTATAAGAAGTCACAACATACTGACACCATCCATAGCTGGTGGTAGAATGCTATTCTGATTGCTAGAGCATCTGGGCAAATGCTATTAGATTACATCAGTTTATGATTATAACCATACTTCTTAAAAGTAACCTTCTAATCTTACTTTACGTAGTTTTGCAGCTATATGCTCAGTTTAACATGTTTTGTTAAATAAGTTAACACTAGAAGCTACATATTAGTAGAAAAGTCTACAGCTGCCTCCATTTCTGGAGAACTAAAACCAGCTCTTTTTCTGCTATACTAAACTCTGATGAAAAACTTACTCTTTCCTCCTCATCTTTAGAACTTGGAAGAATTGATCAAGAGATCCATAAATACAATACCCCAGGATTCTCTGGTTGTCTGTCTCGAGTACAGTTCAACCAGATTGCACCACTCAAAGCAGCCTTGAGATCAACCAACATCTCCTCTCGAATCCACACAGAAGGAGAACTTGTAGAATCCAACTGTGGAGCAAATCCACAAACCATCCAACCAATGTCTTCTGCAACAAACCCATGGCATTCAGATTCAGGTAATGTAACCACTGCCTGTAGCATTAATTCATTTTGTTCATTTATTGTACATTTTAAAATAGTCTTCTAGCCCCCAAAGTTACGTAACAAATTTGTAGTTAAAATAGAATTCTGTATTATAGTAAGAAAAAATTCAAACTTATCATTCTAACACATGTGCACATATATATCAATTGCATTTACTCTAATTCCTACTAAAATTTATTCCTGGTGCATTTATCTTTATTAAGTTTACATGGATGTTACATGGTGACATTTTATTTGCTGTTTGTCTTATACATATTGTTTTTCTTTGTTTTAATTTGTGTAAATGAGACAAATAAGAGTTCAGACTGAAGATTTTTGTCTCTACCGTGGCATCTGTTATCAGTACAGAAAAGCAACACTTCTCTTTCCTATCAATTTGTTTTTAAGAGTTAGGTTTAAATTGGAAACCTGAGGACTATCAACCCTTAGTCTCCCTTGCAAGGTTGATACAAGAATTAAAGGAAGACTTTATAGAGGAATGAGGGGCCATTTGAAAGGTTTGTCAACTTTCTCCAACCACTCTCCAATCACCTTCCGTATCACACCATCTGTAATATTCAGTTCCTGTTGTCTCAGCACTGCGATGTTGAGAACACATTTGTTGAAAGAGTATATATTTTGGCCTTTAAAATATTACTTCTACATCCTCACTAGTACTCTGATATGTTGCCAATGGTTATGGAAAAATTTTGGCAGCTTGTTCCTACTCATTTCAAAATTGACCATATTCCTATTGCCATAGGGAGCTTTCATACTAACCATGGAGCAGTGAAACTGAACAAATCCCCCTTTTCTGAACAAAAGCAAACTGAAAGTAAACAATGTGCTTTCCTTCAGAATATCAGTTACACCATATCTTACCATGATTTAAAATACAGACATTAGCTTGTGGAAGTTCGAGCAGTTACTGTACTTCAGTTTATTTCATATACCCATTTATTCAATTTTCCCTTCAATTTGTTACATTTATAGCTGCTTTTCCTCCACTGATCTGAGTGTAAATGGCTCTCTTCCTCTCTGCTTTATACTCATAATAACTCTATCAAACGGCAAGATTGTGGCTGACTACATTAATCTATGGCTTTCAAAGCCAAATGAGAATTTGAATTGAGGTACCCAGAGTCAAAGTCCAGTACCAACCACTGATTTATCTTGGCCACACCACACAAATGTAATAAAATACTTAGTTTTCCATATGGCTTTTAATTAATATTGAATTCTAATCACCCAGTGACTCATGTATCAAAATGTTTATTTGTTTTTATTCTATTCAGTAATTGTTGCTATGCCCAAACCATGAAACATACAAATCGACATAGAAGGACATGGAAATAGATAAGAGAGTAATGAATTTAGGCATCCTTCAGTCTCGAAAGACTATGGTAATGTGTTCTGAATAGAGGACTTGGAACAGCACCTAGTGTGGCTGAGAAGGCCAATTCAAGTGTGACAATCCCTTCCACAATGAAGACAAATACAATCTGTCCCCTGTCCAGCTCCCTGGTTTTGCTGGTTTCAGGACTGCTTTTTTGCCTCAGCCTGCAGGACAAGTATCTCTTCAAATTGGGGGAGGCCATGCTGCACCACCTGCCTCCAGGCTGGATGCTGAGATGTAAAGGTTTGCCATCTGTTGAAGTTCATTCCTAAGGCCTTCAGATCCTGCTTGCAGATATCCTTGTATCGCAGCTGTGGTCTCCCTCTGGGGCGATTTCCCTTCTCCATACAGATCTTTTGGAATCTGACCATCAGCCATTCTCACCACATGCCCAAGCCAACGTAGACATCACTGTTTCAGTAATGTATACATGCTAAGAATTCCAGGTCATTCTAAGGTAAAGGTAAAGGTTCCCTTGACAATTTTTGTCCAGTTGTGTTCAACTCTAGGGGGTGGTGCTCATCCCCGTTTCCAAGCCATAGAGCCAGCGTTTGTCCAAAGACAATCTTATGTGGTCACATGACCAGTGCAACTTAGACACGGAACTCTGTTACCTTCCCCCTGAGGTAGTCCCTATTTATCTACTCACATTTGCATGCTTTCGAACCGCTAGGTTGGCAGGAGCTGGGACAAGCGACAGGCGCTCACTCCGTCACATGGATTCAAACTTACAGCTGAAGATTTACAAACCTTACAGCACAGAGGCTTCTGAGGTTTAACCCGCAATGCCACCACGTCCCAGCTCATTCTAGGACTACTGTATTTGGAACTTTCCCCTGCCAGGTGATACCAAAAATTTGTTGGAGGCAACACATATGGAACGTGTTCAGCTTCCTCTCCTGCCATGCACAAAGGGCCCAGGACTCACTGCAGTACAGGAGTGTACTCAGGACACAGGCTCCATAGACCTAGATCTTGGTATATGCCATTAGATTGTTATTAAGCCATACTCTCTTTGTGAGTCTAGAGAACATGGTAGCTGCTTTGCCAATGCATTTATCCAGCCAATGCGTCTATCCAGTTTACATAAACTCTGACACTCTCTCTAGGGAGAGAGTGTCAGAGATCATTGAGCCAAGGTACACAAAGTCATGACCAGCTTCCAATTCTTGTGTTGAGATGGTGATGGAGGGAGGTGAGTACATGTCCTGGCCATGACTTGTCTTTCCTTCAGGCTGATTGTTAATCCAAAGTCTTGGCAGGTGACAACATCTGCATCATTGACAAAGAGGAAGTCCTGCATGCATTTCAGCTGGGCTTTAGTCTAGAGAGAATAAAGAACTTTCCATCTGATGTAGTCTGGGGATAGACACCTTCTGTTGCACTTCTAAAAGCCTGTTTCAGCATGACAGCAAAAAAGATCCCAAAAAAGATTGGTGCGAGGACACAGCCCTGTTTCACTCCTCTTCAGATGTCAAAGGAATCTGATGTTGAGCCATCAAAAACTAGTCATTCATTTCCTCATGAAATGATCTGATGATGTTCATCATCATCATATTTTATTACAGTCCTTAGACCAATTAAACAAAATCAATTACAATTCCAACCTTTTTAGCATAAAGCATAGCAAAATTACTACTTACACTAGTTTAAAATGCATTTTAAAACTTACAGTTTAAATCCATTTAAAATCCACAATTTAAAAACATTTATATCTACACATCTAAAATTTATCTACCCTTTGATTTCTGGAATCTAAGTATCACCATGCAGAAACTTGCAACGTGATAGGTGATCTTAGAGTCTTTATCTGCGAGAAGAAACTGGAGTCTACTTTCTTCTGTACAACCTGGGATTTTTTTAATCAGTGTAGAAATAATCTGATTACATGCAATCTCATAGTGGGGACAGATAAAAAACATGTATTGCATAAATCCCAAACAGGGTTGGCACAAGGACACAGCCCTGTTTCACTCTGGATGTCAAAGGGATCTGATGTTGAACCATCAAAAACTACAGTGCCCTTCATTTCCTTATGAAAGGATGTGATGATGTTAAGGAGTCGAAGTGGACATCCAATCTTGGGGAAATATTTTCAAAAGGCCATCCCTGCTAACCAAATCAAAGGCCCTATTAGCTCAAAATCCACACTGTGATTCTGGATACACTGTCTGCAAGCACCTGGAGTCTCTTCAGCACAATACAGGCAAACAACTTCCCTACAACACTGAGAAAAGAGATGCCACAGTACTTACTGCAGTCATCCCTGTCTCCTTTGTTCTTATACAATGTGACGATGTTTGCATCCTTCATGTCCTGTGGTACTCCACCTTCCCTCCAGCAAAGACAAAAGATTTCATACAGCTCAGTGGTGATGATCTCTTTACAGCACTTCAGCAGGGACGTTATCCTTCCCAAGTGCCTTGCCGGAGGCAATGGAATCCAAGATCACTTTTATTTCTGCTACAGTCCGTTCACTGTCCAACTCTTCCAAGACAGGCAAGTACTCGATGTTATTTAATGCCTCTTTGGTTACTGCATTCTCTCTGGAATATAGCTCAGAGTATTGCTGCACCCAGCAGTCCATCTGCTGTGCTCAGTCCTGGATGATCATGGCTGTAGTAGACTTCAAGGGAGCAGATTTCTTCTGTGTTGGACCTAAAGCCTGCTTGATACCATCATACATTCCATTGAGGTTACCTGTGTCTGCTTCTATCTGTATCTGAGAGCAGAGCTGAAGCCAATAATCGTTTGAACATCTTCTGGCAGCCTGCTGGATTTGGCCACAAGCAACTTGAAGAACCTGCAAGTTGTACTCACTAGGACAGGCTTTGTATGCTGCTAGAGCTCTCTTCTTTTCCTTGATGGCTGGCATGAACTCCTCCGAATGGGCTTTGAACTAGTCTGCCATCTTTTTGGTCTTCTTGCCAAATGTGCACAAGGTACATTTGCATCAACCGGGCCTGGAATGGGTTCCTCAAGCATTTGGGCAAATTTCTCCATTTTTTTTATCATGAGTCTTGCTGATGTCAATACATGGACTTCCTTCCCTTTTCATGTGATACAATATCTGTGTTCTTAGTTTTACTCTACTACACACCAGAGAGTGGTCAGTATTGCAATCAGTACCCCGATAACTGTGTGTGATCATAATACTATGAAGGCTAGAGCGTCTAGTGAGGATCAAATCGAGCTGATGCCAATGCTTGGATCTTGGATGTCTCTAGGAAGCTCTGTGCTGAAGCTAAGTATTAAAGAACGTGTTGCTGACAGAAAGACCATGGTACCAGCAAAACTCCAGCAAGCATTGGCCATTTTCGTTCATCTTTCCAATGTCAAAATGGCCTAGACAAGTTGGCCAAGAATTGTGATTAGCACCAACTCTAGCGTTAAAGTCTCTGAGAATGAACAGTGGCTCTCTCTCGGGGATTTTTTTATAGTAGCTGCCAGATAGTTCTAGAATTTGTCTTTGACTTCTGTTGTAGATGACAGTGTTGGTGCAGGGAAGCTGGGGGTCAATTCTCTCAACAATTCCCCAAGCTTGTCTGCTTTTCCACTCACCTCCCTGAACGCTTTGAGTTCAGACTTGCACTGCAC